TTGGGCACACAATTTACATTTGTTGTATAGATGCTCATATTACTAATATACGCTTGTGTTTGCTCCTTTTGATGATATTATGTATGTTCATCGTAGGTTTAGAAGAAAAAGTCATTTAGTCGGTATTAGCTTATGTTTTAGCTCCTGCTTACGTCACTTAACATTATTTTAACAGAAAATGTAGGTAATTCTAATTTATTATCTATTCCGATATTTTAAGTTAATATCTAAAATTAAATGCTACTAGAATGTTTTTCTTACTTCCTTGAAAGAAATAAAAAAAATACTGTACTTCGGGTATAAATTTTAGCCGAAATATGCAATTTTGATCATTCCCGAATCCATTTGAACAATTTTAATGCGTGACGTCTGTATGTACGCCCAGAATAAATGACTCTTTTCTTTCTAAAACGGGTTTTAAAATTTAAAATGGATTCAAAAGATATTTTTCCGTGAGTACATACTTTCTTACCCACCGACTTACCCTGCTTAAAAACACTTACCCGGCCTTTGTTTTCACCACAATCGTTAGTCGTAGTCATACACTTCCAAATATAGAAGTCTCATAAATGGCAAAAATATTAATGTTTTGGCATTATCAGATTTTAGAAAATAATAATTTTTGACAAATAACGAAAGCTTTCTTTTAATACGGTCTCAAATTTCCTATACTTATGTTTCGGAAAGTTTTGTACTCGTTATGAAAAATAAAAATCCAAGAACTTCGTCTCCCCACGGTAAAAGCAGAGCGGGATTATTTAATGCAAATTTGTAATTTTTATCTGGATTTTCAATTACCCTTAAGTGAAGCTCTGTTTATGAAGTTATAATAATTCGAGAAAATAAGTTTAAATGAATTGAAGCAAAAAACTTTTATAATTTACTGGGTTGGACAAGGAAGGTATGCGGGGTCCACTTCAGATTTTTTTAATATAAGTTGAATCAAGCTATTAAAATAATTGTAATTTATAAATAACAATTATATTCAATTAAGATTAAACTTTTACAATATATCAGTAATATAATTAGTGTAAAGACTATTCCACGCATTCAAATAATTGCTCTTCGTACACTAATGTCGAGACTGCCATTCTGGTAAAAGAGATAGAGGACGTACGCAAATAAAATATTACTTTAATAAATTAAAATATGAAACATAATAGTGTGTGAAAAAGCCAGCTGTCATGACAAGCCTACACCTTTTAAATGTTAAATTTAGCAATTCAGTGTTATATTTTCATTATGTATGCTTTACGTATTCTGCATTTAAAATGTTTAATTTTGCCTAATTAATTTAGATTTTGTATGTTTCGTGTTGAGTCATGTTTAGCATGCCAATATTTTCTCTTTTTATATAGTATTGTTTTGAAAGTCTTCTAACTAGTTCACCGTCAACAATATGTTTCGCATGAAAGTTTTCTCATTAAGTTTGTATGTTTTTCGCAGTACACTGAACAACTTCAAAATAAGGCACGCCTTAAAGCTTTATATTTATTAAGATGACAAATGCCTCTATTCTTACATCTGGAATTTTTCGTGGTTTTCCCCATGTGTAACGTATATACGAGCCAGTTCCCCTTAGAAAGTCCTCCACGAAGGCATCCCTCCCCTTAGGCAGATAGCCCTCGAGGCTTTGCTATAATCACACACACACTTACATCTGGGAAGAGAACAATCTTCCGCAAAATAGTAGGCAAAACGTATCCCTTATTAGAGTGTGAGCTATATCCTGAGTTATGTTTGAGTTTTAAAGCAGTAGCCTTATCTATGGTAAACACTGCTTTTCTTAATAAATAATCGAATAGCCAATGAGTAAAGAAACAACTATATATTGGCATTCCACTATGTTATGCTAGATGTTACTAAATGGAACATTGAGTGTGGACCTATGTGTTATGAAGACAATTTATTGTTTTACTTTGCAAATGTTAAATGGGGGGGGTATTGATCAATGTTTTGCTCAGCACTTAGAAATGTTTCACACAATCAAAGCGCTTTTGATTTTTGGTATATGAAAATGACTGTAGGGCATAATTCGTCTTAAAAGTTTATAAATTTGAAACTTTCAGTTAGGCATGATAAAGGAAAGGCCATGATCCCTCGGCGAACTTCATTTTCTTTGCGCTGGAATCTAGAAGTTTAATGTAAATGTGGAAGGATATGTTACCTTAGTATTATTTCCAAGTCCTACGCTGTGGATGTAATAAAAATAGGATATTCGGAAGAGCCTTAAGGAAGAGTCAGTGAGGTGTTTTTCTCTTTCTTCACTGAATGACTACATGCTGTCACAAACTATTCACAAGCAGAAAATATGATGTTTAATTTAATTCCTGGAGATATGTATACAAGATTTGTGTTAATTTTTAAATTTTACCAATGAATGTTACTAAAATTATTTAGCAAATTAGTTTAATTTCACCGCTATTTAATTTAATTTTTAGACCTAAAAATATTTCATTCGAAATACTTAAATAAAATCCATGAAACATCTTGAATTTTCAGCATAACCTAACAACTAACTCTGCTACATAAAATTACTTCTTTCGCTGTAAGAAAGGAATTACTCTTAAATCCTTATTGTTTCCGGAAACAAACGTAGTATCCTATCTTTAAAAACGTTAATTCGCTTTGTTGCTTAAATAGTGCCATTAAGGAGAAAAACACACAAAAATTGTGTAAAGAATTTTTTTTTTTTTTTTTTTTGATTTTCCAACATGCTTTCTGTAATAGTTTAAGTGACAAAGAAACAAACAAACAAATGAACTTTATTTCTTCAGCTTAAGTGAAGTCTTCTATTTGCGAGTCAAAAAAATTTAACGTATACTGCAAATCAATGAGAAAAAAAAAAAAAAAAAAAAAAAAAAACTGAGCGAAGTAGGAAAAGAATCCGTTCACTTTCCAAGTACAGGCAAAACGAAATCAGACAAACGAAAACATTGGAGAAAGATAAAAGAAAAAGAAACCCTATCGGACTTGTAAAAGCAAATGCCTCAAAAGCAAAATATTTGGTGAATGAAAAAAAAAAAATTCTTTGGGTGAACAATGGTACTTAAAGCAAATCTCGGTGGAAGAAACTAAACTGAGAATTATAAAATAATAATGTGAAAAGCCATTGTTAGTGAAAAAAAAAAAAAAAAAAAAAGAGAGATAAAAAGCCTTAAAGTCTAAAACTGAAATTAAAAAAGAAAATTATAAAAATATCTAACTTAACCGTATAACACATCTAATAGACACTATAAAAAGGCATGCATAGAATAAACACAATGACTGCATACATACAATATACCTTCAAATAATGTTTAATGTACTCATTCAAAAACGGAAATAAAAGCATTTTAAGCTGCAGCTCTTGATCACTTAAAACACCTAGAACAACCAAAGAACATGGAGCCCATGTATGAGTCATCTATCTATATTTCGTCGGTTAAAACAGTTAAAAAATCCAAAACAGTGGAAGCCATACACGAGTCATTCCATAATTCTCGATCACTTAAAACAGATGTAAAATTAAAGAAATTCATAGGCATCATACAACTTGAACTAGACAGGCTTTATATAAGTTGCCTGATGATAAAAACGTCTATTAAATTTGTTCGGAGCTTCTTTTGCGCACTATAAATAATTATTTTCTTTATCCTATTGCTTTTATCGAGATGTGGGTACTCTGCGGCAATAAAAAACATTTCCCAGGCAGCACGTCTCCAAAAATATACGTATAATTTTGGTGAAATAAGGGTGTATTTTTTGCACGTTACGTTTACGAAATTTTTACGAATAAAAATAGCTGAAGATACTGTTGGGTCTTTATTGTTATTCTAACGAAAATTATACGAATTCGAATGTAATTGGAAAAAAACTACCGCTATTATGCTATATTTCATTCGTCACTTTTACGGATATTATACGGATCCGATATACTGAATAAAATCTACTGCCTTTTTGGCATATTTCATTCGTCCCTTCTAGGGATATTATACAAATTCTAAAAAGATTGAAAATGAAGTTTATTAATTTAAATTATTTAGTGTATTTCTGGCATTTCACTTTGTTTTCCTTTTCCCACGAACATGAAGAAAGGGTATGCAAATATTTTTGCAACAGCATTTTAATGTGCTATCAAAATTATTTCTGCGTTTAAATCGTCTTTACGTATAAAATCAATTTTCCTCTGGTTAAAAACTTCTATGAATTTGAAAACAATTTTGATGTTTTATATAAATTTAAATTACTTTATAAATATTCTAGCATTCATATATGAGGCTAAATTTTTTCAAGGGATTTTAACAAGTGAGCTAAACTTTTATATACATTTTTGAAAACAAATATATTTTCTTGATTTATGGATCTTCAAAATAACTTATTTATTTTCTTACATCAAATCTGTCATTTTTATTCATGTCAACACATACGATTACACAATTTAATTTCTTTTATGAAAATCTCATTACCCATTTACCTGAAATAAGCTGTGTATTAAGTTTGTGTACTTACTGAATTTGGTACACTATTCGCCTTATTTTATTTGCAAATGTTGGCAATTAAATTGGTACAAGACTATCCAATCTTTCATATCGAGGAATAAAATAATAAATAGAACAGAAGATACTCTAAAATGTTTAACTTCCTGAACAATAGTTTAATGTAAACCAAAGAGATATGCATGGGATCGTTAATTGTAATCAAAGTTTATGCCCATTAGGTACGCATGGAAAGTAATCTTTTAATTTATTTTCCTAAGTTTTTCTTCGAAGCGCTCTGAGAGCAATTTTTCTTCTGTCTGCAGAATTATACTATTCAGAAGGTAGATTACTCATTTTCAGGAATTCTACGTTTTACTCTATAGCTTGCATGCGAATCGAAATGTTGAGAATTCCCGCGTCGTATGACCTTGCTCAAAATAGCTTTTAGCAAAGAACCCGGATCTTTGGCTTTTAAAGACATTGTGGAGGCAAATGCTCACCTGCAGTCACTTTCTTTTATGACGAAACAAATTTTTCCCTACGCTCATTTCTCTTTCACTGGGTTCCCGGAACCAGGAATGTTTTTATCCACTGCTAAAAGAAAGCAGCAATCAAGTCGTCCATAGAACGTCAGTTTTTCATTTTAACAATGGATTTCATCGGTGCAAGATTTCTGCCGCATTTCAGTTGATCTGAAGTAAGTGCACTATCATACTTTACTATAATTATACTTATTTAATCTCTTTATTATTATAATTTTTATTAATACACTAGAACTCCAATTATCTGGATTGTATGTAACTTTACTGTTTTCGTCTAAACCAACACGTTTGGTATTCGGTTTTAAAGAAAGAAAACATTACGCTTAAACTTTATGATCTTTTTAGAAATAAAATAAGGATAAGTAAACAATTTCTTCTTTTACTGAAGAGTGAGTGAGTGAGCGCCACCAAGAAAGACCACTGATCTGGCCTTAACCTCACAGTGTGTTTTCTTCCTAGCAGAAACCATCTACTTTCTGCTCCACCCTGCTCCGAGAACGCAGCCGAATAGACGGCTAAGAGTCTCATAAAGTCTACATGCAAGCTTGGATGTTATTGTTCGGGGAAAGAGTATTCTGTTAGGAATTACTTAAAATTAAACAAAGAAGCAATCAAATGATTGTTAAGAATCGCATTTAGAATAGACAGACACTTGTGTTAGATAAAGTAAAGAAAGGAGGAGACTGCCTGAAAAATTAACTGCCTTGGATTTTCTGGACTTGCTAAATGTCTACACGCGGATGCTAATCCTGACACAACTGTCATATATTTATGGAGCTTTTGTACAGTCGTTGGTCCTGCATGGAGGAAAGATGTAACCTATTAAATTATTGCACATAGTAAACTTTAAAAAAATCACAAACGTAATTTAACTGCGTTAAAATACGAACCCAAACGTAACGCAGATTACTTTCCTTGTGCCTGACTCTTATGTAAAAACATTTAAAAGATTGTATACCTGTTATCACTAAGATAACAAATTCCTGCATAATTTAGTTCTTTGCTCAAACTTAAACTGGAGTTGTTTTACAAATTGAACCATGCATCTACATTTTCTTTTGTAGTACTTGCAGACAGGATAATACATACATAAGTACAAAACTGAATATTAAAGTGAAAAACTAACATGATACTGAGTACAGAAATACAGAAAGCTGATCCCTAATACCTGCATACATAACACTTACAAATGGATACATACTACCTGAAACCTAAAACTGAAACTGATGAATATAATACATAAAACTGATCATTAAGTAATGCTATGTAGTCTAAATCCTAGTTAAGTAAGAACTGACCTTCATAGTATATGCAGAGAAGTAGTAAATACAGACTTGAGTACGTTAAAGTGAACATAAACAGAAAAATACAGCACCATACTGAGTAAAATTGATATCTGATTCCAAACACTTGAATGCATAATGCTGATACATAATTACAAAGCGAACCTTACCTACATTAATTCCATAGTTACTTTTATCACCTTAGAACATGCACATAATTTATAAAAAACATAATTAAGCACTTAATGCTGATCATTAGGGAGAGATTCAAACATACAGTTGATCATATAAATACAGATATCTCTTCCCTAAAATTTACATAAAAAATTGAATATTTATTAAAATTAAGAAAGCAAAAATGCCTTACTAATAATAATAGCATTCACAAACTTGAGGTGATAATATAAGTTGACCTTGCCCTTCTTGAACCTACTTATCACAAACTTGTAATTTAAATACGCGATTAGTAAGTGTAGGCAAAATTCATTGCCGTTGAAGATTTTAGTGGCTCAATCTGGTCTTGCGATTCCTAGACCTGTACATTAATTGCAAAAGTAAAATTTTTAAAGAATATAGGCAGGTTGTTGCCATAGTTCTAATTAGCTAAGTTAGTCTTGGGCTGAGAAGTCCGAGGTGTGTGCCCCGCATAATTAACAGATTGATATAGTTTGACTTGTACATTTTAGGATTCAGAGCGCTAAGCACTTGATTATTTCTGTTTGGAGACAATTATCGTCGTATTAGAGAATATTTTCTTTGACAATGGCTGATTACTGCTTGTAGCCTTTTATGTGTTGTTTTGTTTGTTCTCATATTTGCCGCTCATTGTGGTCAGTAAGCTTGTTGGCTTTCTTATATGGTATTGTGCCGTGTTTGTGCAGTGAAAGACGTAATGGTCTGGATTCCCCCATCTCTCCACATTGATATCTTTCTGTGTCACTCAGACTGAATCTATGCAGATAGGTCAGGAACGGGCCATGACCTGTATAAATCTGTGTCTGACTACCACTATTGCAATTTAATTCTAGCGTTGTTTTCGGGAAGGACATATTTGTTCTCCTTCCTGTATCCGCTGTCTCCCATCTCGCTTGCCATCTGTCTATCAGTTGTTTTAGAGTGGTCTTTTTGAGATGAGACCTAGGTAATTTTTCTGACAGTTCTGTACTTGAGACTTCCTTTGCCGCTTCTTTTGCCAGGGTGTCCGCTTCTTCATTGCCTTTTATGCCCACGTGAAGAAGAGTAAACGAATTTACTCTACTTACGAAGAAGAGTAAACGAATTTACTCAGAAATGACTTTCTGAAGAGTAAAGGAATTTAGACAAAATAAATAAATAAATAAATAAATAATAAATAAATAAATAAAAGAATTATTTGGAGTTTGTTATAGTAAGGTTTTGGCGTCAGTCCGAATGTCCGTCCAGGTAGCCGTTAGCCCGTCTAGTCTGTTTGCATATTTGGAATTTTAATACAGTTTCGTGCAAAATATTACGGATTTCTGAAATATTTATTGCTAAAGTATGTATTGCTATAATGAAGAAGGTTTTTCTTGTATGCTACTACAGTTAATGATATTTCCAAATGAATTACATTTCAAGCAATATTAAAAATTTCAGTACTTTATAATGTTGCGAGGCCCCAACTTGTCAGCAACAGTAGTAGTGACTGCTTTGAACTGTAAATTACACAAACTCGCAAGAAAGGTTTAAATCCCTTTTTATTCCACTTTAAAAATCACAGTTGCGTTCACTTGACGTTCACAAACTACGCCGACCCGGCGGGTTAACAAAAAAGACAAAAATGCATCTAAAAATAAATGACAGGATGAATAAATAACGAGATCACTACCTACGAGGCTATATAATCGTAACTAACTTAACCGCGTTCTAAGATACAGCTGAGATTCAGCAAACTTACTGATTAAGAAGCTGAAAGATTCAATGAACTGCCGAGATAGGCACACAGGCCGAAACGCGCGGTTCTTAAATTTCTACCTAGCAACCTTCACGCTCGCGATTCAAGAAGCACACTTATAATCTCGTTTCCCTTCTATTTAAACTCAAATTACCTCTGCTAAAATTTGAATACTCTGCGCGTTCTACTAAAATTTACGTACTCTGGCATTGGCAATTCTAATGGAAAGTAAAGGCTTGACAGGAAAGATAGCTTAAACTTAAAATAAATGTTAGTTAAAATAAATATAAACCCTACAACTTAATATGAAGTTATTTGGCTTTTCATAATGCCTGGATTCTTTTCAGCATTCCTTTTATCAAAGACTGCAATGCTTCAGTAGATTTTGCCATAATCCCTTAGTTTCTAGATCTTTTCCGAATCTGAAGTTTTTAGATGCAAAGTAATTCATCAGGAACCTAGATGTATTACTTATCAGATTTATCTTTAAGGGGTATCAGCAAACCCTAAACCGATAATGTTAAATTGGCCGTTTTCGATATAATTTTTCTAAAAATCTGCTGTAGATACACGCTAGAAATTATTTGTGTAATTAAATTATACCTATCTGATTATATTGAAATGAGCTTTTGAAACATTCTGAATCTTAGAGTAATTTACAGAATATTTTGTTAGGCATAGTAAAATTCAGCACTTTTCTCCCACAAAAAAATTTTAAAAGTTGTTTTCCTTAGTTTTAGTTAAAGCTCATTTTAGTAAATTTTAGGAAACCGAATAAATACGCCATAAACATTTTAGATACCTGTGAGAAGTAGTTCCTGAGAAAAGATGCATCGAGTATAAAAACAATCACGTTTGCAGTAAAACGCATTTTTATGTAAAAATCCTCATTTTTCAAAGCATTCGATGACAAATTAGAACTAGATTTTTTACAGTTATAATTTTAATAGAGATTAAAGAATGGTATTTTAGAAAGATAAAAGTGTAGAGAATTTGAAAATGCAAAAATCCGAAATCACCACCCTTTAGAAGTTGGGCTGAAGTCTCATTGCGGAAAGAGTAGAAAAGTAAAAAAAAACATTAAAAAAAAAAAAAAAAAAAAAAAAAAAAAAAATTAGTTGCTTTTTTTAAATGAGCTATGATTTAAAACTATTAAAAATGTATAAAAATAATGACTGATACGTTTGATAATTAATTAGATAAATCGATTTTTTTATACAGGCGCCCATTTTTTTCCAATTAATTTAATAATACAGTAGTCACTGCTCCCTTTTCTCAGACACGTTTTGGCTGCTGAAAGAAGCAGGACCTGTGTCTGATAGCCCTTGAAATCGAAAGAAGAAGGTTGCTGTTTTCCCTAATTTTGAGTATGCAGACCTTAATATAGAAATAAAATATCATAATATTTTGCACAAGACTATACTTGATAAGGGTCAATAATTAGTTTCATGCATAATAAAAGAAAAATAATCTTTTCATGTGCTAATTTGTAAATGTTAAGTGTAAAATCTTTAGTTAGGGTGTTATTTTTTAAATGTGCACATACTGATGTATACATTACTTCCCTATTCAGTGACTAAAATTTAAAATACCAGCAAAATGAATTCAGTGATTCGGAAGAAAAGAAAAAAAAAATCTTTTTAGTAATATGATGGTTGCATTTAAAAAAATAGTCTCTTCTCTGTTTAGATAAGCTAACTAGAATAATGATTATTCAGCAGCTTAATTCATGTTAAAGCACTGCATTACCTTTATGGAACTTTTATTTAGAACTAATTACAATTTACAAGAATTTCTAAGAATTTCAAGTTTTCTAAGAATATTTATTGCTGAATTAATATAATAAATGTAAGAAAATTTAGAAAATCCGATTAAAGAAACGGACATTTTTTTTAAATTCCTTATTTGTTTTATTTGCTTTCATAGTCGAAAAGTTTTATTGCCTTTTTCCTCATCCTTA